GCCATCTTGACTCTCTGCGCATGTGCAGACCTACGGTAACTCAGAGAGGTCAAATTTCAACATAACTGTATTCACAGTCAGTATTCTACAGACTTATTTTGTACAAGTAAAAATAAACATTTAATGGGTTCTTCTCTAACAAGACATTTACGATGAAAACAAATATTTTATAAAATCTTTCAAACTGACAAAATAATTTGCTCGACACACAGGAGACGATGTTGCTCTCTCTCCATTCATTTCTTACGGAGCTTGTGCGATGAGGCGACAATCACTCACCCTGCTCCAGCCAAGCGACCAGCGAAACTCGTGCAAATGATATTTTGTGCTTGAACACGTAGACGTGGACACGCAAGCTTGGGACGCAACATATAAAAGTTGAAAAATGTTAAACCTTTGTTGCTGTTGCATGGTGCTACAACCAGTCAGCAAAGGTTTCATTGACTGACCAATGAGAGGAGAGTATGCTACACACTGCTGTTAGTGAACACTTTCAACATTATTTTAGCTCTGTCAAACTTTACAACTTTACTGTATATGACACTTCACAAAGTGATTGTTTAAAAAAGGCAGCCATGGTAAAGTTGTCCAGTAAGTTTTTCCTCATAAAATCATGTCTTGGCGTGCGCTTGTTTTTCAATATCATTATCATTGCAAGGTTTGTTTAGTCCATCCATAATGCACACCATTCTTTTTTCCCCTCTCCTGACAACCACCAATAAACTTTACAAAAAATCAGTAGAAGAACCAATCAAATCAAAGCAACCTGAGAGTGCGATTTGCAACACTGATGTCGCTATCACATCCCGTGTGTGGGGTTTCACCCTCGTAGCAATGCCAGCAGTTAATCGCTGTCATTTGTCACTCCCTGTGTGTCGAGTCCAATACTGATTAGAAAAAGTCCTGAAGAAGGTTTAAAAGAAGCTGCTTTGAGTTCTTTCATCAGTTTCTGCAGAGCGTCTGCACCTCCTCACTGTTCAGACCTCAGCTGGACCTTCATCCTGTAAGGTTTAGGAACTAAAGTGATCCCGTAGACCGGAGTGAAGTCTGGTTCTCCAGCATCCTCGGGCCAGATGAACTTAAACTTCCTCAGCAGGGTCACCRTCATGAGGAACAGCTCCATACGAGCCAGACCCTCTCCCAGACACATCCGAGGACCTGAGACACCAGAAA